ATCCTTCAAGCTCAGTATTCTCCTTCAGTAAGCAATGGTGTTACTTCACAGAAATAGCAAATGCTCTCCATCAGGTGGCTAAGCTGATAATGTTTTAGGACAAATTATATATGTAACATATATGGTGGTGTCTAACTTTGGTTAACATTCAAATCCTGACAAGACAATCAGTAAGGCCTGTTTTTGACGCGATGAGTATAAAACTGGGGAGAATTTTTTGTACTAACTGATATTATCAGCTCTCTCAAAGTGATTAAGATGAAAGAAAGTGATCATGTAAAAGTAAACACAGCTAAACTTGCAAAAGTATGCAACATAGCTAACAGCATTAAAACTCTGGCATGAAAATATGAATTTTAAAAAGTCACAGGTTGTTGCGTTTTGTTTCCCTTGAAAATGGGAATTTAAAAAAAAAAAAAGTGTTTCATTAAACTTGACCTTCCAGACTCCTTGGATCCTTGATTTCAGTGGAAGAGACTGCTGGATCAAAAAAAAAAGAGAGAGCATTCAATTAACTGTGCACACATATGGAAAGGCACACAGCCATGCTAAGATTGCCTTACAGACAACCAACTATTGTGGATGATCAATACATTTCTCCCCTCCAAAACTATCCATTACTTTGCTTAAAAAGTATTTTCAAGCTTTAGCCATTTGTTTTCAATTTTTTCAAAGAAAAGGTTTTTTTTTCCCTGTTACTACTGCCAAGGATTTGCTTTTTTGCTACACTGCCATACGTCAAAAAGAAAACAAAATATATAAGCTTAAAAGAAAAAGGACTTGCAAATACCTTTGTGCAAAAAACATGCAGTAAATTTCAGCCTGAAAGATCAATGTTTTTGAAAGTTATGAACACTTCAAAACAGGATTTCTAATAGAAACTTCTGCATATGCTGAACCTCACATTTATCTTCTAGAGAAATTATGAAAGTGCAAGAAAGAGGCATTTGTCAAAATACCTCACTGCATCAATATTCTGAATTCTTATGTCTATATAGTTTTCTTCTAGTTATGAACCCCCTCCAATAAGCTCAGAAGTCACCCTTTCACAAAGGCAAGAGAAGAAAGCCCACATAGCTTGAGTAAAGTAAGCAAGGAGGGTTACAGGTGGTTAACTATATGCTCTGAACACGTTATGAAATACTATACAACTACACTAAACTCTAAAGCAGTATCTATATTAACTAAGTACCTAGTCTCTATGTAAGAACTTGCAGTATGTAATAAACAAACCTTGTTAATAAAATCATGCAATACAAAATATTCGAAGAGGCATATTAGGAAACAAAGTTACCAGGCAATTATTAGATTCCTTTAAACACTTAAGCCAAAAAAATTTGAAAGAAGCACTCAGTCATATGCAAAAGAACTTTTTTTATTTATTAAGAACTTCATGTTACAGCTATGGCTTAACTGAATGAAAGTGCAATTACTCTGCAATCATCTTTACCAGAACCAGGCCTGCTGGGTTTCCGTGACAGGGTTTTTGGTAGCAGCAAGAGGGCTACTGCAGTGGCCCCCTGTGAGAAGGTTCTCAAAGCTCCTCCAGCTCCAAGTCAGACCCACACCTGTACCAAAGCCAGCCAATTAGTGACAGTGACTGTGCCTCTGTGATAACGTAATTAAGATGGGGAACCTGTGAGGAAGAGTTACAAGGAAGACACCTATGTGAACACCGAGGTCAGTGGAAGGAAGGAGGAGGAAGCAGGGGAGGTGTGCCAGTGCAGAGACCCCCTGTACTCTGTGATGAGACAGCAGGGCCACCCCCCCACCACCCACAGAAGTCACCAGTGGAGCAGAGGCCGACCTGAAGCCCGTGGAGGAGCTCACACTGGAGCAGGCAGCTGCACACAAAGGAGGCTGAGACTCTTGAGGAGAAAAGCAGCCCCCCACTGTTGTAGTTCACCTCCGGGAAGACTGCAACATGTGGGGGTGACCCACACTGGAGCAAGTTCATGGAGGACTGTCTCCCATGAGAGGGGAGCCACATGGACCAGGGGAAGACTTGCGAGGAGTTCCCCTCCACACCTCTGAGGAAGAAGCAGGAGACTGACTGTAACCCCCATTCCCTTTCCCCTGCGCCACTGGGAGGAGGTGTTAGAGACATCAGGAGCAGAGCTGAGCATGGGAAAAAGGGAGGGGTGGGGGGGAGATGTTTTTAAGATGTGGTAACCATAACGGGTGCGTCACCCATCCCTGTCCTTATCTCAATTCCCAAGCTTTTTACTTTATTTTCTTCTTCCCATGCCTTAAGGGGAAGGGGTGACGGAACAGCATCATGGTGATCAGTTGCCCTCTGAGCTCAAACCATGACACCAGGTTTGAATTCGGAAAGAAAAAAAGCTAGTGTTCCTCCCCATAGTAAAGCCTGCTCATATGACTCAGAGCTATGTGCAGTATGCTGTAGAAGCGTTCCAGGGTCTACACGTGTTCCTTGAGTTCCATTCTTGTTTCTTAAAGTCACCTATTACAGCATCAAAAGAAACTACAGTAAACTTTGAAACTCTGATAACCTTCATCTGCTTTATTGCATTATTAAGGCCACTTAAACCCCCCTTCTCAGCTTCCAAACTAGCATCCTGAGCTTTCTGCAATCTGGATGTATCTTCACCACCAGCATAATCCATGCCCTTTCCCAAACAGTAGCTCCTCTACTATCCACACAGAAAACTCCCTCCAGAAAGGAATACTTGTCAAGGTCCACCAGCTACCGGAAGGACCCTGACACATACTTGAAAGGAAGCATCAACTGCCTTAATTTACTCTATGGGTATAGCTTGATCGCTGAGGACAGATTTCCATATCTTTTTAAAACTATCCTACTGACTGGTCTGTATTTTCCATGCTTCTATCCACTGGTTCTTACCTTTATCAAGTCAAAAGAAAGACTACTAGCATCAAGCCTAACGAGTCCTCATTTCCCTCAAAATAAATGGCAAGGCCAGACACTAACTGCTATGGCAGGGACAGAACTGACAGGCCTGCACCAAAGCCTTTTGAGATGCAACAGTCTGCATTTCACATTGGAATATAAAGAGGAAATAAGAAGTAACATCAGAGGAAGTCTTGGCAGAGGGAAACACATAAGCAGGAACAGAGAGGATATGAAACAAGCTATGTGTCCCAGGAGGCTTCAGGATGTTCCCAAGGCCATATTCAGAGGATCTGCAGCCAAAATTAAGTTTCTTTAGCCTTAAAAGAGATGCTATCCTTGTATATTATCACTATAGCCAAGGGCAGATACAGATGAGTAGGGAAAGGTTTCCCAGGTGCTGATAACAGTCGGCAGTGGAACACTGTGCTACAGTATGTTAAAAAACAGAAGCCATGCAATTTCCCTTCTCTTCATCCCTCCCACTCAGCACATGCAAACTAAAGTATCAACAGCTCCTCCTTCTGTCAGAGTTCTTCTAACTCAGTTTCAACTAGGGGAGGAGCAAGTCACCACTGACTTTACAGTACTGCCCCAAACAGCCTTGCACTTGAATCACTACAGGATTACTCAAGAAAGAGCACCCTAGATAAGCTGTACATGAACCTCCCGAAGCACCTACTTCTCAACTCACCTCCTAGACAAAGGCAGCATTACCAGAAAACTTCTCCAATATCTTAATGGTCCCTCAAGCTGCACCAAATCCTGACAGAAGGTGTTTAACAAATGCTGATGGACAATGGCCAGAGCCTGCATTAGTTCGGCAGTGAAGATGGGTCAAGCTTCTGAAATTCTCTGCATAATACTAAATATTATGAATACAAGAACATGAAAGTAGATATTCTGAAGATTTGAGAGGTTTTTGTAGACTATGACACCATAAAATAAATTCTACCAGCATTTAAAAAAAGGAAGCTAAAGATACTTCAATGGTTTTAAACAATGCTTGTGTCTTTACTATTTAAGGAAAAAACAACAGAAATACATACTCCTCCAGTTTTTCTAACCCTGAAGGATCAAACACATAGTATGCTTCATACCAAACTGAATCAGAAGTGGAAACATGCCATTTTGTCTTCACTAATACATTCAGTACACTAGAGCAGATCTTGACTCTCACATTTTCTTTTGGCATTCAGGTATCCTAACTAACAGTATTTTCATCACTTCTGATGAGATACAATGCCTAGCCTAGTAGGCCTTATATTCTACAAATGCAACTTTATCTTGGACTCAGTTTTCTAATTTGGTTCCTTTCCATTACCCTTGTCGGTTCGGGTGAGAAGGCCATGGATATCTGATGGTGGACAGACTCTAAACAACATGCTTGGGGATGAGTCCACAACCAGACCCTCAACACATTCTAGACAGGGCTTCTTACACTCATTGCCTTTACATGGTTCAAGATTGACCTTACGGTCACACTGTTGGGTCTTGCGTTCTTCACATCTTTTATCAGAAACCATGACCTCCAAAGCAAGCCTGTCCTCCTGTTTTCACAATCATTTTTCTAGGTTTCTGGGATATTGCTGGTATTAAGGTTTATGCATTGCACAACATTATAAATGGTAAAACCCAAACCATGAAAGACTGTGTATGTGATTATGGAACTCTCTCAAATTCCTCAAGACACTTATTCTGAGAAAAATAAGGGAAGAGAACAGAATATTCATTCTTTTATGACACAGCATTAGTCATGTCATTTGATACACTAAAAAAAAAAAAAATTGAGAGCAACAATTTCATTCTATCCCCATCTTTCAGTTTTCCCGTCACAGAAAAAAATCTTCTTTAAGAATTTGATGTAAATTCACAGTAAGGAATCTCTGTCTTCCCACATCCCTCTCCAGTGAGAGACAAAAAGGCAAGTGATTAAAAATTGAAGCTGTTACATGTAAAGAGATTAATTTTTCTTAAAACCCACATGTCCTCTGCCTGAGATTTCCCCAAACACGCCTTGCCTTTTTCTTTGCAGAGATAATGCCAGGCTAACACATCACTTAAATAGAAATTAACTGGTAGAAAGCAGCAGGCAACACCTCACCCACTGAAACACAAAGCAAGTTACCTCTCGTTTGTTTCTCCTGGCAACTTTGAGAAATTCCATAAGGATCTGCAATTGGGCAGCATGGGACTCCTGTGAAACAGTAAATAAGGAAGTGTAACTCTTCCATATACATTAAGAGAAACAAACATTCATTTTATACACAGAAATCCACACTTAGCACAGAAACAGCTTTCATTTAGAGGTGAGGAAGAGAAAATAGCTTATTAAGGCAGTTTCAAGAATGGTAGTTTTTCTTTGCCTCACACATTTTAAGGTTTTGTTTGGCTCACAACAAGTTTTTACATGAAGGCAGAAATCATTGTAACAGCTCTTGTTTGTGCATTACTAAAGACTTACTAATAAGCTGAAATGCTTTTGAGTTTTTTTGGCTACTGCATCTGAAATTGGTTTTGGAATATAGGATCCTCACAGACTCATCTTCTACCCTAGAAGATCATTAGTGTCTACTTTGTGATTAACATACTAAAGCATGAAGTATTTACATAAGAAACACCTCCCCACAAAATTAACGTTTGTGTTTATGCAAAGGAGATTACTGATGATGATTTCTCCACAGTAGAAGACAACAATAAAGTCACTGATGTAACTAAAACATCCCTTTCCAAACCTTTCTATAACAGGTCATTTAATATTTTCACCTAAATTGGCCAAAATCTTGACAGGGCAAGTTAAGAGAAGCACAAGAAGAAAGAAAAAGGAAATGTCTATTCCAGCATTAATAGAGCCCTAATCCTGTCCAAGCACTCTGAGACTTATTTTCAAAACCAACTGAAGTATTTATTATTAAAGGACTGTGAACATACACTCAAAAGGATCAAGACATAGGAGCATGCAGAATCCATTAAAGGCAGATGAGACAGGAGAAGTAAAGAGATTAGGATGGAAGACTACTATTCTGAGATTTTCTTCCTCCTCACCCCTGTGATGATAATGAAAATGAAGCAAGTAAAAGTAGAAAGGAAAAAAGCTTTTAAATTGTTCTTTAAGTGTCAGGTGTGGTTTTAGGTTTTTTTTTTTTTTTTTTTTTTTTTTTTTTTTTAAGGCTTAGTATCCTTAAAAGATACTCCTGCTCAGAAGCACCCATATACTCAGTTCTGTGCCTTCTTTGTTTCAGATTTGTCACAAACACCACAAAAAGGCTCGAGAAAAAAAGAGGTTTTAGTCTAAAGTTAAAAACCATACTCCGACCTTATCTTCACTGAACCACAATAAGTTATGTACAAATCCCCATGCAATAAGGTAACATCACAGTTTTGCTAGTAGTCAGTAAACGTATTTTTGGGTTACTCTCCTTCCATCAGAACCATGAGTTGTGTAAATATTGATTCTGCAGGAGTGGATAAAATAAGCCATTCCCAATACAGCTTTTCCTTACCTGTTTTAAAGCACCATGGAAATCCACCCTCCTACCCAAAGTTCACTAGACCAAATGGTATAATCCAGTTTAAAAGGTCTGGCTCTCATAGCTGGAAAATGGTCACTTGAGATCAACATCATGGAATGGCCAAATACATAAGAAATATCCTAAATCAACTACATTTCAGTTACTCATAGGAACAGCTTGCTTCATATTGTATAAATCTTCAAACCAACCTCGTAAGACGTCTGAACTTTTCATTCAAGCATTAAATGCTAAAAAGTCTTCAGGGGTGACAGTCATTCAGGTTCTATCAGTTTCGGTAGAAACTAAAAGGCGTCATGTTTTTCACATGTACATTGAGTTTATTCCTTAACCTCTATTTTGGATTTTTTCATGCTTATTACCAAGAAAGATCTGGTATTTACTCATGCAACAGTCATTGAGCAAACGTCTTGTGCTTTTCTCTGTTCTGCTAGCCACTTTCTCTTATCCTTTCCCATTTTCCTTACTTGTTTATACAACTCTGCCAGCAGCCACACTAGAAGCATGTTAATAGCATCACAGTTGAAATGTCAGTTTGCTACAAATGTCAGTGAGATGGCCAACATTTCAACACCAAAATGCAAGATACAATTCTGAGCAATTAATTCAGCAATAGAATCTTACTTCAAGAAGATAAAAGCATGAAAAGAAAAAACTGCTAACTAGACAACAGTGTTCATTTAAATAAGACAAGAGAAACTTCTTACTGCTTCCAACTGCTTCTTCTTTTGCACCAGCAGCTCCAGCATCAGGTTGACATTGGCCAAGTCAAGATTGTCTTGATCAGTCCCCAACAAATCTTGAATTATCTGCCACCTATGGCCATTCTAGAAAGAGAACACGAGATGTTGGAGAGACAGTGAACACAAGCCATCCAGGCATATATCCAGCAACAGATATTAAAAGCAACACTGCAATATTTCCCTCTGTAAAAATTTCAAAACAAATTTTCAGGAATCAGAATTCCCAATTCTCCCACACATACAGGATATAGCTCTTCTATCCTACTGTGTAACTGCTTAGCTTATTTGGAAGCTATTTGAGTTTTATGAGAGCATAGCTGCTGCTGCTGAGAAGAGATTATTTCACAGCCACAATTTTATCTGATTTGTGCCCTAGTTTCTGAGAACATGTTTCTATGGGGAGAAAGAAAAAAAATATGTTTATCCAAGCTTAGTTGGATTACATCTATCTGAAATACTGTTAAGTGGCAATACCTTTTAATTTTTTAAACCAAGTAATAGGTAAAGCCTTCGAGCTAAATTAAAATGGAAGAAGGTAGTATCAGCTTATTTTTCCTATTCTCACCTCCCACACTACTCAAGAGTATTTTCATGAGAAGTGTGAGAGCAGGGAAGATGGAGCCCATCAGGGTGATCTTCTCATTCCACCTGTTAGAGCCGAGAAGGACTCCACAGAGAGCCAGCATACTCCCATACAGCCCATTCTTCCCTACAGGCTGTTTGCTTTTCTCTTTGTCAGTAAAAAGTGGAAAAAAAAAAAAAAGTATCTTTTATCACAGGAAAACCTGAATGATAGGCTAATGCTAATATAGCCTTACATCAGAAAGCCTCAGGAACCAACAGGAACAGTTGAAAGGTCTTTAGGCCTTCTAAGAAACAAAGCTGAATTAAAAAAACCCCTGCCCTATAAAAGCTATGACACTAGATTGAGATATTTAAAATTTGCAAGAACTGGAAATGCCATCTATCCAGTCTAAATCAGACATTTTCTCAGAGGTTGTAGCTTATTTGTATTGACCAGATTAAGAAAACTAAAATGTGCAACATCCATATAGAACACACAACTTTTTACACAACTCTCAACAGAACCTGTGGAAACCACACAGGCAAAAACTCAATTTTGATCTGGAACAACTGGAAAAAAAATATATTTTTTTAGCAAGTCAGCAAGATTTGAGGCAAATTTTAACATACTAATGTACTAGTTAAACGTACTACTGCTAAACTACTCAGAAACCTTCAAAGATGCCTGAACATGACTTCTTAGTGAGACAGATCCATGACCAAGAAGTGGTGCATTTGCTGTAACAACTCTTGAATGACTTCTCTTAATACCAAAAAGTTATACAAAAGGAGAACAGGCACATTAAGGAGTAAAATAGCAAGGTTCCTCTTTTTAGAGATGTTGGTATTTTTTATTTGTTGTCAAAAAGTAGACACAACACTGTTTCCAGCATGAAGTCACAGTAGATTTCCACTTACTAATAGTTATCTAGCATAGATGTAGCTACGGACGCAGTTTCTAAAGGGGCATTATGAGAAATAATAGAACCAATTTCCAAAAAGTTCCTGTACATACCTTCAGGTCATTTCTGTGCATTTTAAACTAGATATGGTCTATGCATATTTTATACTGAATATGGTATACATGTATTTTGTATCGACTATAAAAACTTATTGTGAATAGACCAATGAATCCTCTTTTCTAAAGTGTACAACTGCTGAAAGCATTGGGTTTTGCAACACAGCCCTTAAACTAACAACACTTCAATAAAGGATTTAACTGACAAGAACAGGGGCTTCATGATTTTTAATATTACTTTGTAACCTTATTTATGAATTACAGAAGCCAAGGAAGCAAGCCAGACACAGGAAGACAAATATGCAAGTTTCCTGCTTAATGTCATATATTCTTTTTTATCTTAATGTGAGAGAGCATCCACTGCTGCTGTACAGGGCTTTTCATGAACTGAGAACAGAGATCATGCTCTGATTCTGTAACATGAAGCAAGCCTAGAAGACATCTAGGCAGTTTTATCTGAGATCAGAGCCAGAACACCAGTACTCCAAACACATCCTTCTCCCTCTTGTGGCTGCTTTTGTGCCTTCCACCAAACTCCCTGCAGAATACAGCTTCTCACACATGATCAGACAAGCCCGTGGCACTTATCATCCATTACTCTCATTGTAGGTGTAATTTCCAAAGCTGAATGAAAATTACTAGCTTTAAACAAGTAGGTTATATTCAGGTTATATTCAATACATCCTATGGCACTCAGCTATGTTAACACAGCTTGTCTCTACACGTATACTGCTGGCAGGAAGAACGAGAGTTATCAAGGTTGAAGGGATCCTACTGACACTGATATTGGTATTATTCCCTCATAAAGCTAGTTAAAGCAGAAGCTCAACAGTATAATTCCTTCTAAATTAAGCCATGTAATGACACAATTGCTGTACAGAACCATTAAATAAATATAGAAGTAAAAAAGTTGGAACATACGGTGCTACTCACTGAATGGTCCAGTTTGAGTCTTTTCTCCTCAGATCTTTGCTTCTGTTTAAGAATAAGTTCATTGACTAAAAAACATAAGATGTCAGAGAAGAGATGGTTATAAAGTTCACTAAACAAGTGTGAAATATTCCACATCAATATTTTTAATTATTAATTCCACAGTAAGTTTGAGTAATTAAAACTGTAGATGTCTCTACTTCTTTTCCTCACCAATTTATTCCTTGATTATGTAACGTATATAAAGACTATTAAAACAAGAAATCATCAACAAATACAATGCCTACATATTCCCCAAATTGCTTCAGTTATGTTCTTCTAAGCCCCCACGGTTCTTTGACAAAGTTTTTCAGCACCAAGGCAGAGTACATCACAGAAGAATGAAGCAGATGAAACATTAATGGATATACTACAGGCTAAAACCAAGCACAGCTGAATAGAACTTTTTCCTTTAATCACTATGTGCATTTTTAAAGATGTATTTTTGCTACAGTCTTATTTCACACCAATTTAGTTAATGGTACAAAGACAGAAGATAACCCCAGCCCTTTGCACACACATACATAAGCTTTTCCCACTCACAGACCTCAAATCCCTGAATGTAGGTGTATGAAGCAGTGTTCTTTGGCCTAACATAATACTTTGGGACCTGCCTCAGCACCACCTTTGGCACAAGCACAACATACTTGGTCTAAATCAGGATGCCCATTTCTGAAGTATTCCTTGGCTACTGTGGCTTTTATCTATTTACTATTAAACAGGTATCCCAGCACACGAAATCAAGATTTGATTTAATTTTGACATTTCACACTGCAATGGGTTTCCTTTGATCTTTTCTCCCCATGACAAAGTTTTAAACTCTATTTCCAGTTAGAAACTTTTCTATCCTCAGTTTAAGAAGCAATCAGTTAGGATTGCATATATGTGTGTGTATGAATATTTTTTCTGTATGTGGTTTACACAGATACACACATCACATGGATCTCACTGCAGCAGCCAAAATGTAATCCAGCCTCCCCCCTGCTTCAGTGTCCATGCTTTGTAAACAGGGCATGTTCTTGATTATTAGACAGACAACAATACAAGAAAACAAAAGTAAACAAAGAGATTCAAATCTTTAGCCATCAAAAAAACATCTTCATTTTGCTTTTCTTAGTGTGCAAACAGCAACAAGTCAGTCTCACTATTATAACTCAGCATACAGAACTGCTGGAGGCCATGGAATATTAATGATTTCTATTATTAATGCCTTGTTTTTATATAAAAAACACAGTTGACCAAAGGGCTGATGTTTGGATTTTATTTTCAATATTCAAAAGCTGGTTATCCATAGGATGACTTTACAAGTGCCTGCCTTCCTTAACAACTATGATGTTTCTCATGCAAGCAAGCCTAGAGCTTACCTAAGAAGTTGGGATAAAGATGATCTATGTTGTCCACAACATAGTTGCATTTGGGACATCTGTTATTGTCCTCCAAGCTCTGGTGAATACATTTATAGCTGTTTAAAAACATAAAAAATGAGAAACAAAACAAGTGAGCAAACATGAGGGAACAAAACATAAGCACAAGGTAAATAGTATCAGCCTTAGATAATGCGTACTCTGTGTTGCCAGCTAACAGCTGCGTCGCCAAGATGCTACAGTGAAGTCAAGATGTTCCAGCATTAACTCAGAGCATGCTACAGCAGAAAACCAGCAAAGTTTCTTGGCAAGGATTACAAGAAGTATTTAAGTACTTCACTCTTATTTCCCTGAGGACTGTGACAACGTGGATACTTCAGCCATGCTTCCATCTCAAATTCATGACCCCCTTCCACAGGCAGAGCTAACAGACTGCATTATTCAGAAGCAACTCTTCCAGATTAACCAAATACTTAGCATGTGACATTAAAAGCTATTATGCATTTTGAGTAATTGAGCATTGAGGAAACACCTTCAACTCCTCACATTTCTCCCCACCCCCTGGCTGTTGTTCTCTCCAGAAGTGACTTCAGAGGCATGCTCTGTTGAGCTGTTAGCTATCTGAGGGACAGAGTGAACTACAAGATGCACTTCAGCATCAGGTTTAAGCATCTCACTAAGAACCCAGCTTAATGTCAAACTGCTGGTAGACACGTGTGACAACATTGCTCTGTTCTTTCTAAATATACCAGAATTCTTCTCATCTAAGACTTTCAAAAGTTACAGCTCTCAGAGAAAAGGTGCTACCATAGAGTGCAAACCTAGCTGTTACCTTAGCTGTTGCAGGTCAAAACATTGCTGGAAGTTAACTAATCTGCTGCTTGAGGAAGTGCTTTATGCTGCTAAAATATTACTTCTTGTAAAAGGTAGGTGATTTATTTCTAGCTAACAGACACCGTAAGAGTATAACGTACACAGGACATTAAAACATCATGGTTCAACATGTATTCCAATCCCTAGTTCAGAGCAGAAGCTTCCACACCTTGCCCCGGGAGGGTTCCTTTACTTCTCCATGAAACATTTGCTCCTTGTGACAGAGATAACACACTGAAAAATAAGCGAACCTTGGGCCAATTCGATACAACAGAAACAAACCTGAAGCATATATTGTCTTAAAAAGTTTAAAAGAATTGCAATAGACGATGTGCAAGCCACTTCAAACTGTACATGGTGTTGCACAAAGGCAAGGAGAGCATCCCAATACCAGCACTCACTTCCAGGACCTCTACAGAGGCAGGACCAATAGAGATAAGTTGACAACACTGATCTGACTCCAGATACTGGATGCTACCAGCAGTTTATGACCATTTTATTTCTTTACAGAGGGAAAAAGTGTCACATTTTTTTGTTTTAAAAAAGTCATCTTAGTGTTTAAAAGATGGGTACCAGTCATATTAAAATTTTATTTCAACCTCTTTCTTCAGTGCAGGGACAGAAGACAGAAAAGTAACAAAAACTCAGAAGCAAAAGGATTCACAGCAATGTCAGTCCACAAAGGCTGTAAGAGATGGACGTTGTGCAATACAAAAAAAAGTCTTACCAGAAGCTGTGTCCACATTTTGTCATGTAGGCTTCTTCAATCATATCAAAACAGATGGGGCTGAAAACAAAACAAAGCAAAAAAAAAAATCAAAATATGTCTTTTTATGTTAAAAAGGGATGGAAAGTATTATTAATTCAAAGCAGCCACCTAATCACGCTTAGGTAGCCTTTTCTATTTGTAAAATGAAAGAGAACACACAAGTGCAAGAGCAACCAGGCAGTATAAAGATCAGAACGGCAGTCAACAGTTCTTCCAGCTCACAGTGATACTGGTGTTTGCTACAGTTAGAAACAGGTACGTGTTCACTCTTGAAGCTTTCCACAGTTGCAAACCACCCAAACAAAGCCAGAGTATCTTCAACAAGAAAGGCTGCAGAACCTCCTCACTATCTGTACTGGGTCTCAAACAAATTGTAAGAAACCTGGTTTTCACATGAACAGACATAAGGTATTTATAAGTGACACCAAAATTAGTTTATCCTTCCTTTTTTTTTTTTTCAGCCAATAGCTATCTATAATTTTTAAAAAAATATGCAAAGAGGCAGAGCAGAACAGAAATAGTAATGATGTCATGAGAACAAGAACTAATACACAGGAGGAGAAGGTGCCAACGAGGGGGTGTGCCTGCAGAGCACTGCCAGGCAGCAGCAGGGCTGCAGCTGAAGGTTCAGCACAACCAAACGAGGGAACCAACAGTCAAGCCCAGTGTTACGAAGTCAGAGAAGACAAGAAAGGTAGAATATGGGACTGTTCCTAAGGAAGACAGAGGAATTCAAATGGAAACAAGGGCTTCAGTTTTCTCCAGCACTAGTTAGTGACAAAGCACGGCCAGCTCTCCAGGAGGGATCACCAAGAACCAAGCAGGGAGCTGAAGAGAAGGATGTGCAAGCAAGCAGCGCTCCACAGGAACCTGAGCAAGACAAGAGACAGGAATTCAGTGAGATGGGTAGTGGAAGAAATCAGTCTCATCATGAAGTGGCTGTGACACGTTTGAAGAGAAAATGAAACACAAATGAAATCAGGAGAGCTGCATCTTACTTGCAGTGACTCCTACGGCTGCTATCCCTGATAGCTGGTAAGTTATGTTGTCACATACACACTCATCTTCAGGTCTTGGCCAGCTATCCAGTGAGACACTGTGGACAGCAATGTCACAATTCTGCCCGTAACACGCCTATCAGCTGTGTCACTAGCTTCCCCTTTGCTTTCAAGGCCTTACAGAGATCCAAATGCTCTCTGCTCACTCCCACAAGTCCACACCAATCCCAGTTCAGAGAGGTTTCTACCAGCATTTGTTTTCTTCAGAAACAGCCTCCTCCCACCTCCTGCCAACAAGGCAGTTCCCACAGAATGAGCTGTTAATAAACTGTTAACAACTTTTCAAAAGCATGAATCTTTTTGAATCAAAGATCAAAAACCCAGATCAGACTGAAATAAGCAAAGCTTGGCTAAGCAGGGGAGGGAAACACCTCAATTTCTCCCCTTGTTAGCACTCCACAGAAGTAATTCCCCCTTTCTGTCATCCATTTTAGAGGATACTAACATTTGTTACACCATTAGGCATTTAAAAATCAGGAAGGACAAAAAAAAAAAAAAACAACCTCTTAAATACTTATTTTTTTTTTAAACCCATAGAGGGGAAGTTGCAGCCTCTGCCAATGCAATCCCCATCTGAATCACCAAACTAGAAAACATGGATGCCTTGGAAGGTTTGTCCAACCTAACAGAAAGCAGGTTGCCTTAAATATTCCACCAACTTGTCTGTATAAACACAATGTAAAGGCAAACGAATCAAACTAGAATGCTGCTCTCACTCGACTGAGTCACCTCAAAAGAAGCTTCAAAAATAATGAACCTGTACCTGTCCCTCTTCCACCCTGACAGACCCTTTTCTGCACATCATTTGTCTTGAGTAGCACCAACTTCTGGAGTGCTAGTCACTGTTTCCAAGTTAGAAGTTATTTAGTTTCAAGGCACTGTTCAGTCAGAATAAATTACAACCAAATTTAGTCAACAAGGGTGGATTAATAAAAGGAAACTTAGGCATCTTTGTATTCTATTAGCTGCCCTTTAAAAAAAAGAAAGTCAAAGACTTATTGTTATATAAGTGTCTGGGGCTGGTTTCTCCCCACTGGTGATGAACAGCTTAACTTCTTTGTCTTCTTCTAGTCATGCCATATAACATAGTCCTGCTCATTTTATCCTGCTAAAAACTGCTATTCCCCACAGGGCCAGATGTGTTTGTTCCAGCACACTCCTAATGTCCTGCCTCCAAAAAGTGCAGCAATCAACAAGGCTTTAATGCTCCTCTGTCTGCAATGGGACATCACAAATTAGAACTAAAATAGAAAGTTTACCTCCTAACATGACAGACACCCAAGACCACTGTTCCCAAACAGATTCCTCATACTACCAGTTTGATTGGAAAAGTGACAGAGCCAAAATAGTTGAGAAAAAGCAACCAGAACCAGCAAATATAGCCGTTCAGTGCCAGGGTCATCGTTAACAGAGCCTGAAGTTTCCATTAAGAACTGTTTCCCCTGAAATGCTCACTGATTTACAAGTGGAAACAAGATTGATGTCTTTTAATACTCACCGAAGCCGAGCTGTCTGCAACACATGAAAGTTGCTATGCACCAGTTGTTTTAAGTTAATCTAAGACAGAGGGAAGGTTAAGAAAGTAGTGGAGTGATGGGGACTTGAGACACCCTCCAGCTTGTAGCATACACCAAAACTGAGAAGCACAAGTGTGGTGAAATCAAGTCTTCTCTGCATGAGATAGAGCTTATTCTCTATGTGTCTTAAGCAGCAGAGACAGGTAAAAAGGATGCAAATTATTTCAGCAAGGCAAAAATGTCACTGATACTTACCAGATAATGATGTCTTATTTACTAAACAGTTTTTTATCCAGCATTGCAAAGGCTTACCGTTCTTGCACTGTGTGGTAGACCTCAAACATTTTAAAAATCATTTTAACCAAGTTCATGCCTCTACATTTTGCCAGCTGTTTTCAAGGCACCTCTCAAGAGTGCTACTGCCACCCTGCTGCTACTCAAATACCTGGCTGAAGTGGTCACTATAAAATTTAAACACATTTCAGATTTCCTTCTGCTCTGCAGCAAGCAAGACCCATTACAGTTTCTCCCTCCTGTTCCACTCAACTTTGGTCAAAGCCGAGAGCAGGACTTGCTGCAGGCTCTGTCCTTCACGTGGAAGGTGGCCAGGTTAAAGATCACTGCCATTACTATCTACTCAGTATGAAGTTCCAATATAGCAATAGATTATAAAACTATCATTGTACTTGGTACACAGACAGCTCACTGTGTTTTTAGTTTGTCACCTCCACAGTCAGTTTGCAGTTTTCATTACCAAAGGGGTTTGCCAGATCACAAACAAGTGAACAACTACACTCAGCCCGGGCCTGACATTAACAGATAACCACCCAAGGAAAGAACTGCTTTTAAAAACCCCCTGAACCTGCAAATCCACCTTCACACGTGTCACAGCCCTTCCCACACTTGAGTTCGCTGGGTGTACTTCTCCAAGTCAGTATGCAACATCCCCTCTTCCATATTTTTATTTATGCCAGAGCTCAGAAAAAAGCACTGATACAAAGCAGCTGCTGAAGAGACAGCCTACAGTAAGATCCCCTCCATCCAGGGAAGAAAGAAGATAGTAACTCATTTTAAAGAGGTTTAGTCAACCGCTAATCGGGAGGGCTAACGTAAGGCCTGGGAAAACTATAAGCAATTACATTGCTGGACAGGAGAAATTCCTCTGATTAAAAGACTGCCTTTCAGATGCTCCCCAGGCAAGTGGAAAGAGGCCTAGTTGCAGGAACAGCCCAAACCACCTTGAAATTTCACATCCTGCATGAAGAGAAACAAAGTTTCCTCTTTCATAATAAAGTTGTCCAATAAGTCAGACCTATTTGCTTTCCTGACTAGAGTTACACATTTCCAGGCAGAAACTGATACACACCACAAAGGGTACACACTTGCAAACTCCTGACTGTACGCTTGGTAAACATTTCACAACCCAGACTAGCAAGGTATACCAACATTTATGTTAAAGCCTAGACCTCACACTGCTGAGACAGCACTTTCAGGAGACAGGCAGGGAGGTTGCACATATTAACACTGTTTATGGGATTTCCACTTGCACCTTGATGTTCAAAACTCACCCAAGCTTCTTTACTCTTTCCCACCTTCAGTCTGGTACAGGCAGAATCTACCACTGAGTTTACAGCTGTAGCCAACAGCAACTCACAGCCCATGTTCAGAAAAGTTATCAAATGTTCCCTGCAGCCAGCAGCATCTTGAAAGTGTCCTTACAGAAAAAAAACAGCATGTGGAAAACTGATTCTCACACCAAGATATCCAAAGCTTGTTTAAATCAATTATTTAAACCTGCACACACACACACCTGTCATCTTGGACCTGGCTCAAAACCCCAGAGTTGCCCAGTTAAGATTATTTCTGTACTGCGTAACTGTATCGTTGACTCAAAAAAAAAAAAAAGGCAATACTACAATTTGAAGCTAGTGTTAATAAGCAAGAACAAGCCCACAGAAATACACAGCAGTGAAGAACCCAAGTAAGTTAACTATAATCACTGTCTCAAAGCTTCTGACCTGCACTTCCATATGCCCAATGTGGCTCTTGCAAATACCAAGAAAAGGGAGTCAAGACATTTTGCCCTGATTACTACTCAGTTGCTTTTATTTTTCCTCTCACCTGTTCAGCCAGCAGCACTCCTCCATGAGGAGAAAACAGCTAATTACCTGTTCTTGAAGCACTTACAGTACTTACCTGCAGAAAAAAAAGAATCAAAAAACTCAGCTTTTCAAACAGTTTTAGAACGCTTTAACTGGCCTACCAACTTGTTATGGGTGTAATTTCCCTTCAAACACCCTAATTTCTACAACAGACAATGAAATGGGAAACGACAGCTAACTAGAAAGGGACAGGGAGCAATGGTTGCAGACCACTATTGCCAGAGTATAACTGTAGAAGGAACAGAGAGGGGCACCAGCCTTCACAATCACATTGTCCCCCAAGACCACAAAACCAGTGAGCAACAGCAGTGCAGCCATCTCCCACACCTAGTACCCTTAAATCCACCTAACACGGCCTAGAACCTTCAGCCAGAGTGGGACATCAGCTGATTACAGCTGCTCTCTTCCCAATCCTGCTACTGAACAAACCACTACTTACAGTAATAAGCAGTAATTTTTGATTAGTACTTATTTACAAGTGAAACAAGTACTTACTGTTTTTTTCTGTCACCAGCTCCTTTGCAGCTTCAGGTTCTCACTTCAGCAACACAGATATTTCTTATCTACTCTGCTAGACAGCTTACAAAGCTGTAAAATGAAGTCTACAGGTTTTTGAGACAATGCCTGTCCCATGGAGACACCAAACATCCAGCTGTCACCTGTAAGTCAGAGCTGAAGTCAGAGCTGTCAGACAGAGTCATCTTGGAAGCTGTGGCCCATTTCCCTTCCTCTTTTTTTTTTTTTCTGAAGTTTCTTTCCAATACATGGCTTTCCTACAACTCAAGCTTCTTTCCAGTATCTCTTCATTGTTTGCCTTTCTCAGATGCGAACACTTACCCCTACTTTCTGTTCTCACATTTTAGTACATCCAACCAGCAATAAAAATCAAACCTACTCCTTATGTCAGGAGGTTTGAAACCCATTAGCAATGGGCTCTCTTTAAAACTGCAAATTACCAACAGTTCCTAAACCACACAGGCCTTGGTCTACCACTTCTGCTGGAAGGTTATTTCCAGCTACAAGCTGCAGCTTTGGCCGAACATTAGAAGGACAGAATCTGAACAGCTTCAAGAAAAATCTTTATCCCATCATCGCCAAAATTTCCCACTCATCTGGTTTTAGGTGCCAAGCCGACACAAACCGTATGGCTGTTTCAGACCAGCCAACCTTTTCCCAGGAAGGGAAGCAAACCCACGACAGCTTTGCTGGATGAACCGCCACAAGGCTCCTTGGATCCCCATCCGCAGGAGCACAAAATCCTCCACTGGCTCCTCTCCCAGAGGTTGGAGTGGAGTAGTGAGAGGGCTCCGAAGGGGCCACCTCACCCCCACCGGCCCCTGCCCAGGCCACAGCGCCCAGGAGAACCGGACGCTTGCGATGTCAACCACGTTATGAGGAAACACCTCGGGTGGCAGGTCCTTTCCGATAAGTTGGGCTGCTCCGGAGCGCACCCAAGGAGGAACCTGCTGGGAACAACCTGATTTTGCCTGAAAACAGAGAGGGTGAAAGCAACGCTGCTACGCAGGGCCAAAAAGCAAACGGACAGACACAAAGAGCGGCGGGGGGAAGACCCAGGGCCATAATCGCTCGAGGGCAGCTGGGCGCACCGACGCCTCTTTCCCCTCAGAGAGTCCCTGAGGAGCCGCCGGCGGCTGCTCCCTCCTCCCGCCGGTATTTCCCAGCCTCCGGGCTTCCCTCCGGCATGGCGGCGCGCCGGCTTCCCTCCGCAGGAGTAGCGGGGGGGGGGGGGGGGGGGAAGGCCGTTATCGCGATATATCGCGCTCACCAAACGAAGTCGTTGCTCTTGTCCTCGTAGGAGTTGATGAGCCCGTTGCAGAGCGGCGTGAGCAGCGGCCTCTTCCTGCCGCCGCCGCCGCCCGCGCTGCCGCCGCCGCCTCCCGCCGAGGAGCCGCCGCCGCCGGGCCGCGCCGCCGCCGCCAGCCGGGCCAGCCCCGCGCCCGAGCCCGACACGGCCGCCGCCACCAGCACAGGCCGCGCCGCCGCGCCGCCCGAGGAGGACGAGCCCGGCGCCATGGCCGCCGACGAGGAGGAGGAGGAAGAAGAGGAGGAGGAGGAGGCCGGGGTGGCGGCGGCGGGCGGCGCGGCGGGGTGCGGCGGCGGCGGGCGGCTGCCCGACATGCCGAGGCCGGGCCGGAGCGGGGGGGGGGGGGGGGGGGGCGGGAGGAGGGGGGGCCGGGGGAAGGGGGGGGGGCGCCGACGGCGGATCGGCCTCAGCGCATCCCCGCGCGCGCGCGGGAACAATAAAGTTCACTCGGAGCGCAACAACCACAAACAACAACAACAAAAACAAAAAAAAAAATGGGGGGGGGGAAAATAGAAACCCAAAACACGCCCGCCCGCGCGTCCCCGGCCCGGCGCTTGTTCAAGCTTTATTGACAGGCGGACAGCCCGCCGCGCATGCGCGGGGCGGGGCCGGGCTCCCCGCGGGGCGGGGACGCTGCGGGCGGGCCCGGCCTCCTCCTCCGCGCTGCCCCCACGGCCACGGCCACGGCCGTGTGGGGCGAGCCCCGCTCCGGGGAGCGAGGAGGCGTTCCCCGCTGCCGCCGAGCGTCCGTGGCTGAGGGGGAAGGCTGCCAGGCGGTCCCTCAGAGGCCGGCCCGGCCCCTCAGCGCCGCGGCGGGGTCCCGCCAGGGACCTCTGCGCCTCACGGGCTGCTCTCGCCTTGGATGCGCCAAACGCCATCCAGCCCCACAAAAAGGCGCCCGCTGCTGAGGGAACGGCTTCTGCCGGGCTTCAGCCAGCTCTTCGCTGCCCTGGGCCGCTGGGAATCCCACTCAGGAGGCCCGCGGGGTGTTTCTGTTTCCCTGCAGTAGCCTACGGGTTGACAGAAGCAAGGGCAGACCGCCTTCCGCACAAGCTAATGAATAAAGTGTTAATGAAAGATGCCTCAAAGATGGTTTGGGTGTTCAGGGAGGTGCTGCCCCCAGAGCCAGGCTTTTGCAAGCTAAACCGAAGAGTTTGTGAAACACCGTACTTGTCAGCTCCTCAGCTTGGCCAGAAGTACTGCAGAGAGATAGATACCTGTCCTTCCCTCTCATTTCTCTTCCGACAACCTATAGAAACGCATTGCCTGCTTTGCGCTGAGTAACTATTGTCTGCAGTCAGCTTTACCTGTCTAGGGTTAAAGAGGCAGCTGGTGAAACACTGGGGCATTCCCTGAGGATGGTAATCCTAAACCCAGGTATGGGAAAACGCCCAAAAGAGATCAGGTCTGCAGCACTCCTCCCAGTACAGGCAGCAGAGTAAGCCTTCAGTGGGCTGTAAAACCAGTATAAGCTGGTAAAACTGGTCTGAGAGGAAGAAAAAAAATGTGGCTTCAGGTAGGCAGTGTGGGTCGGGAGACCTCTGTCACGCAGCAGGGTGGCAGGGACCCAGGATCACCAATGTCCCAAAGGGAGCCCCGCGAAGCACAGCTCTTGATTTACTCTGGAGGTGCTGCTGCAGGTGGAGAGCTGTGGAGTGCTCCTCCTGACCTCCCCTCTCAGCTTGAATACTGTTGGGTATTTGCCTCTGTGCGTTTACCCCTAATGTTGGAATAAAGCCCCAAGACAGTCAACAGAACCCAAACACTCTGAGGAAGGTTGGCGTGGAAACGTGGATGGGTGCAAGCCAGGAAATTCAAAGGCAGCTTCTTTGAGATCCAGGTCAGTCGTCTCACCTTTGCAAGCTGACATCTGACATTATAGTCACTCCTGCGATTTAACTCTTTGTTGCTGTTATTACAAACTTTCCTTCTTACAGTTTTGGGGGTGCTTTTTGGTGTTTTGTCTTGTCATGTTTTGTTTGTTTGGTTGGTTGGTTGTTTTGTTTTGTTTTGTTTTGTTTTTAAGTCCTTCTGTTCTCCCACTTTCTATAAATAGCCTTCTGAGTGGCAGGTCTCAGGATTAACTCAATAAAGACATTGGAACACAGCAATTCCCTCTGTTTTCAGTGAGAGCAAAAGAAAAGAGCCTAAATACCTTTCTTTGAGCTCGACTGTTGGTGTCTGTGTGCATCATATTTCCTATTGCTCTAAGAAAGAAAAACCTAATTTCCTTGTCTTCCAGAGGGACTTTATGGATAACTGTCTGCAATGGGCTTTTAGGTTTCCAAGGGAAGAATGAAGCAGTAGTAAGCAGTATTACTGGCAATAGCACGTCTACATGGTTCGTGCCTACAGAAATACTGATGGGTCCTTGAAAAGTCTTGCTGTCCTTTGATCCCATTACTGTCTGTGCTCCAGGGAGGAAAAATGACACAGGCAAAAGCTGTTAAAGATCAGATATATGCCCTCTTATGCCTATATGTAACTGGTCTTCACAGGAACACCACAACCCACAGGCCTGGCAGTGAGTGTGGCACCCAACACCTTCAGCACCAAAGGACCGATTCCCTAACACCCAAATTTTAGGATATCATTACAAGCTCTTGGAGGCCCGTGAAGTGAAGACCTCCTCTTCACTGCCCTGATGAATACTGAGCTGCCTCTGGCTTCTGGAGATGTTTCTTTCCTGGGGTTACCTTGCATTACCAGTTCCAAGACCAATGGATGCAGCCTAAGGGAAGATCAGGTGCTACTTCCCAGAGATACCTGTGTATTGTACTGGGATAAAGAACATGGATAAAGCCCCCTGGTTTTAAAAGTTCACCACAGCTGGAGCAGTAGTGCATCAGTTATCTTCCAGTTAGCATGAAATGAGCACTAAGAATTAATTTGCTACTGTCTGAGAACCAACAGTACTGTTATTAGACTCAGTGGCAAGGGTACAAGAGTGAAACACGGTAGATCTAGATCGGCTGTAAGAGGTTTTTCTCTGTCCCCTCCAGGCAGCAGTGTGCCAGGTGCTTGCACCGCCTCGGGGCTGGGATCCTGAGCTGAAGCACAACTTGTGAGGGGTTCGGGACGGAGGGGAGAGTTCTGGTGTGGGGACACCTGCACCCTCGTGTAGCACACTCTTCCTAAGGTCCTGTTCAGGTTCAAAACTGCCCCCAAAGGATTGCTTGTGTTTCCTTGATTAATCTGGGTATTACCTTTGTATCTCCTTTTAAAGGAGATATTATGACTGTTTGCCTTCAGAGGCATGTGGAGCACAGCAAGGTAAGCACCTCCTACCCAGCCAGTAAACACGACCTGTTCCTGACTGGCCTGAAATTTAGGCTGAAAACAAATCAGTTACTCTGGGATAAGATGTCTCCATCTATAGCCCTTAGAGATTAATTTATACAATAAAACTGGTACTTCTGACAGACACATTTTGGAAGACTGGCTGTAGGACTCTGCTCTCCCTTTTCCAAAGCCACTCTCACCGTGTCATGAAGTACCAGCCCTGATCCTGTGCGTGGAGGGATGAAGCACTAACCCTGACATTAAAGGAAGGAGCAGACAAGTGCTGTCTATAGATGAGTGAACCTTAGTAGCAATATAAGCTCTTCTGGGTACACAAATCCTACTTATTATAAGCCCTGAGCTTGTGACTTTTCTGACTACAGGCAGTTGCAGCTGTGATGCCCAGTGGTAGTGCAGCGGCAGAAATAATTTAGAATACTCTGCAAGGGTCACCATGCAGGGAGACAGAGACCTGTTCCACAGAGGGCGACAGGTGGGCCACATGTCTCGGGGGGGGGGGGGGGGGGGGGGGGGGGGGGGGGGGGGAAGTCACAGTCACCTCCTGGGGTTTTGCTCCTGGCTGCTGGTGACTCATTGAGAAAGTTACTTTTGCTTCCGCTTCTGAGCCCGTTGCTGCCACCTAATTTCCACTGGGTCTGTTAGTCTGTTCAGGAGCGCAGCAACCCCTGCCAGGAACTGCCACCCTGGCTTGGGAATTGCTGCTCCAGAGGTCATGAGAGAGCTTTATTAATAATCATTGCATTAACCTCCCAGCTACCCAGTGACAGAAATGCCATTTCTCCCATTTTATAGCTGAGAAAAATGAAGCGTAGACAGATTCATCACCTGGTTACAGAGTCAATGGGAACTGTTAATGCTCCATAAATCTGAAAATTAGGCTGTCAGCAACTTCTAAAGCTAACCTGAAGTAAAGCTACCCAGGAGACCCAGTCCCTACCCATCAGGTACACTCCCTCCTCTGTTTACAGGGAGAAACCTGGACACATCTCTCTGAATTTCAGTTCCCACAGTCAGACAGAGAGATGTAGGGGTCTGGAGAGCACAGCCGGTGCTCCCTGCCCGCAGCAGACCTTTCCTCTGCAGCGCGGCAGCGCCCGCTCGGTGCCTGCGCAGGGGAGAGCCCCCAAGCAAGGGCCACGATGCACTTAGTGAGGCAGAGGGATAGGAACAAATTGCTCTTATGGCAACTCAGGGGCATGTCTGGTCATCACCTGAAACTTGACTGTGAAAGAATATTTGGTTATTAAAATATATAATTTAGGTTAACTCAAGCTGCTTGGGATATGGGTGCAGCAGGAGCTGTGGGAGACCGGGTTGGTTGGTTGTTTTTTTAATTTATTTTCTAGTTCAATAGTGCAGAAGCAAGTAGTGCTAGGAGGGAGGATGCTTAGTGACACCTATTAGAGTTAATATTATACAGAGTTATTTAAAAAAAGGATGTTTTCATTGCTTTATAACAACACCTTTGCCACTCGCAGATGGAATTTTCTGCATCAGCCTCAGGCTAGCTCCATGTTGGTGTAGAGATTTTGAACAAAAATGGTTTAAGCATTTTCAGAAATGAAGAATCAGCAAAACAAAATATTAACATTTACTGCAGTGTTTAAAAAGCTCAGACCCTTTAAAGCAAAAGAAAAAAAAAAAGAACTTTTTTTTTCTGAGAGAAGTGTTATCTTTACACTGCAAACTGCATCACTCAGGTCTTCTGAAAAGGCATTTGACTTGACTGAACTAAAATGAGGTTAAAACAATTTGGCGATTCTTCTGTAATACTGAAATATTGTCTCCAAAGTTTCCAGGCACTACAGAGACCTGAAAAGAAGCGCACGTGCAATTGCAATTTCAATGTGTGTGCACTGAAGCAAAGCTACAGAGGAGCCTGACTTCATTTCTGACCTACACAAGCAGAAATACCTGATTCACTGCTCAAAATTATGTAATTCCCTTTCCAGGGGTAAAAAAAAAAAAAAAACAAACAAAACAAAACAACAAACAAACGAAAAAAACACCTTGAACAGATC